AATTTTGTGTTTTTCTGTTTTTCTCTTCAGTTTCATTTGGTGCGTCTTTTTGTTGTGTTTTGCTTCGTGTTTTCTCCGTGTTTGTGTTTTCAGAGGTAGGTTGTGGCGACCGAGGATGAGACTGCTAGAGCTGAGACTGGGAAATCAAGAATACCCATAGTCGTGCCCAGAACACTGAAGGAAGGACCGGGAAAACGGACTGAAGAGCTGCCCAGAATTTCTCGCGACTCGCGAGTCAAAGTCGCGACTCGCGAGATGGTCGCGACTCGTGAGACGTTCACGACTCGCGAGTCCAACAGAGCAAATTCAAGATTTTCACGAGATGAGTCGCGACTCGCGAGTCTATGTCGCGACTCGCGAAACAGTGTCGCGACTCGCGAGACATGGTGCGATTTACCCCAGATTTTAAATATTTTCGAAGACGCGCGACTCGCGACTTGGCAAAACTGGAAGTCGCGACTCGCGACTTACGTCACGACTCGTGACTTGATCGGCGCGATTTTCGAGGACGGGATTTTAAGTTCAGAATTTCGACCTAGACATCATTATTCACATTCCAGACTTCGTTTTTTCACTTTTTCTCTCTAGAAACTCATTCATTTTCATACTTTTGCTATTTTGGATTGGTTTTGGAGATTAAAAACTCTGTTTTCTGGCTTGGATTTGGATTGTTCAGTGGATTTGACATTGGGATTCTTTTATTAATCGTAAGTTCTTCTTTTTTTTTTTCAATTGTGTGATTGATGATGATGGCTTGGGTTTTTATGAGTTTTGATGTTGAATTCCATATGAGTAGCTAAATCCATACGCTAGGGATAGGGGATGATTGATTAGGTTCGATTTTAATTGCTTGTTCTTAATTGTTCATATCTATTCAAGTTGTTCTTATTCTAGGGTTAGTAGATTGATCACCTTTCTAACCTAATTAATCAACGTGTAGAACCGAGAGGGGAGACGTTGGTCGATATAGGCTTGTTTAGAGTAGACTTGTTCGTAATAGTAGTGTCTATGGGTTGTTGGAATTGATAGTTGATCGTGTACGTTCACTCTCTTGTTACGAAGAGTTATTGAGAGTGAGCCTCTGGACGAGAAACGATTCAAGTCCTTTAACCGAGCAATTCATTGCCGGTAATTGTGTTAGAACTGAAAGCAATTATCCCCGATTCCCTAGCACTTTAATCATTCGAGTTTATTCACTTGCTATTTAATTTGTTTGCGTTAGTTTTAAATCTTTAGCTGATAATTAAAACCCCAAAATTATTGAATAAGAGTGTTTAGGGATTTTTTTCTTTTCTTTCTCGTGATCGAATAATTGTACAATTGAATCCGGCTAACCTTCCTTGCGATACGACTCGGGGAACGAATCTTTCGATTATACTCCGGTAAAAATATTTTCAACAAAATTGGCGCCGTTGCCGGGGAAGGTTTAGGACTTTAATTGTGCGCCTATTCGTTTATTTTTCGTGTTTCTCTTATTTTCTTTTTATTTGTTAGGTGTTAGTTCTTTGTTTTCTTTTGATTTCGTTTTTTTTTATTTCTTTTGTCTATTATTGGTGCTCGTAACCTTGTTGGTTTTAGTGTATGCGTACCAGGAGTGGACGCAAACTGTAACGCCCAAATTTTTATTTACTATTTATGGAGCTCGACTATATTTCCATAAATATTAAGTTTCTAAATCTAATGCATTATTTATATTTATTGCATTAAATTAAATAATTAGAATTAAAGTCTAAGCCATGAATAATTCTTCCGACTTTAATTATTAAAGTTGGAATTATATTTAAGTGATCCGAAGCCAGATAATTTAATTATATCGAACCTAAGTCCAATTTTATTCCAGTCCATTTTAAAATCAAGCAAACAGTCGATTTTAATTCCGGGCCCATTATTAGTAATTATTTCGACCGACTAATTTATTTAGTCCTAGTTCGATTAATATTATTTAGCAAGCCCGAGCATTTAATTTCCTAAGTTCATATTCGATTTATATTCTAGCCCGACTTTAGTAATTTTAGGCCCGACTCTCTAGCCCGTTAAAAGCCCAACACACACAAGAAACCATAAGCTCCTCTCTCCACTATAAATATCTTGCCCCCTTGTCTCCCAACATCAAGACATCAAACCCTAGCCTCCCTCTAGCACTATTCATCATCATCAACCTCACATCTTCAAGCTTTATCCTTCACCTCATCCATGGCCTAAGCATAGATCCGGCCAGCCACCAGAAATTCCGACAACCCGCAGCTCACCCTCCGGCAACCTCCATCTCCGGCCACCTTCACGACATTTTTCTAGCTTTTCCAGCGACCCGCAGCCGTGACGAGCTCACCTCAGCCGAGTTCATCCATCACACCATCCTCACAGCAGCTCACCACCGCGACCAGCTCCTCCACGCGCAACCAAAACCAGCAGATCCGCAGCGACCACCCTCCGTTTCAACCCGAAGCTCGCCGTCGCGAGCAGCAACCAACTCGCCGGGAACCTGCAACACGCGAGCTCCACCCCGTTGCTCCCCTGTACGCGGGTCCAACAGGCCCGCTCAGCCCCAGTTCGCGAGCCACTCCAGCCAACAGCTCGCCATCCACCCAAACCAGCTCGGACCTGCGACCATATGACCCGTCTCAGCTCAACCCGCGGCCCTTGCTCCAAGGCCCGACCAGATCCGCTCAGCAACTCCGTTTTTCGGCCTTAGCTCCAACCAGCAGCACCTTAGTCCCATTTTCAGCAAGCTTGAAGCTCCTTTTCCGACCCGATTCCCTTGTTACTCTTGTTCTTAGCTCGATCTCTTATTAACCCGCCGTTTTCGAGCATCGTGAGGTATAATAACTCGAACTTGATTTTGATGGCTTAGACATAATATTTGAAATGATATAAAAGTATAAATTGGGTGATTTGAGCGATTTTGAATAAATCGGGATTTTCGGGAAGCTAAAATGTTCGACTTTTTAAATAAATGTGATAAAATGTTGAAATAAATACTATAAAATTCGTTACATCATTTTGAGGCTTAGGTTGAAATTTGAGATTTTTCGGACGTCGTTTGATAGGTAAACGAGCCAGTCAAATGCGTTGACCGGTCGTAGCGATCTTTAGTTGACTGAGTTAGGAGTTAACTTTTGACTTGAGATGTTGACCATAGACCTTACATATATTGAGGATGTTATGTTTCGATTTTCGTAAATTTTGGATGTTGTTTGACTTAGTTATAAAAATCGAGACTTTAGATATTAATGCCGTAATAATAAAATATTAGATTGATTGAGACTTTAGCTGCAGTTGTGGATTATAGATTTATTATAAATCACATAGAATATGTATATTAAATATCGACCTTTATTGAGTTAGGATTTTCTGGAATCAAAACCATAGTGTTATCCGGTTTCGATAACTTGGTATTTTTCCAGATCCGATTATAATTGTTTGAAACCCTAGTACCGTCTAGATAATCTTTAACCGTCGTATCGTAATTCGTAATGCGTATCGTCGTCTCGTGCCCGTGATCGCCTCTTGTCCGACCGTTGGAGCTGAGCGGCCGAGTGCGTGCCCGTGCACCGAGTCCGAGTCAAACCCCCGAGTGCGTGCCCGTGCACCGAGTCCATCCGACCTGCCGTCTACGTGTCGTTCTGTTAGCCGTGGTCCAAGCACGCCCCTGCGTCAGTGACCGTGGCACCGTTCAAACTCGTGCATCGGCTAAGCCGTGTCAATCGAGTTCGTGCCGGCCCGAGTCGCCACGCCGAACTCGAACCACGGTCAAACCGAGCTGCACATAGTCAAGCGAATGACCGACCGACTCCGAGTGAGCCATGGGTCCAGTTCAGTCGAACTGGTCCGGTCAGCCGGACTGTTCGAAATATATATTTCAGATAGAATGTCAGATAAGTCAAATTAAGATTTCAGATAAAGTTAAGAATTTCAGATAGATTTAAGATTCAGATATAGTTTAGATTTCAGTCAGATTAGATTAAGTCAGATTCTAGTCCCAGACATATAAATATTTCAGAGAACTCTAGAATGCCTCAACGACGATAATATTTTCAAAATCAGCTCGTAAATCCCAAA